GGGACTCCAGGATCATGACCTGAGCCGAAGGCAGTCGCTTAACCAACTGAGCCACCCAGGCGCCCTCAATTTCTCCATTTCTATTTTAATTCATAAGATATGTTACGTGCTTCTGTCTGCCATTTGGTGGTTATTTCTTTTTAAAGAATGTTGAATTTGTTTTGTGCATGACTATACATGCACCTCATTAGCTACCTTAGCATCTCTAGAATTCTAGTATAAAATACTCTTAAGAGAGTCAAAGCATGCATCACTGGTTTAAAAAAAAAATCTTTGAAAAAGGACTGAGTAAATGTGGATGTGAAAGTTACATGTTCGCTGTTGTTTTGAAAGTTCTAGTTTTTGTTTGCTTTTTTTCCCCTGATGCGATAGTTGAAAATATTTGGGTGAAAAACAGGTCCACTGATTGGCATGTTAAACTTTGAGACCATGCCATTGGGGACTTCTTGCAACTTTTGCATCCCTTGATTCCTGGGCTGTGTTTCTGACTCCTGACCGGAATTAGACAAGAGTCACTCTCAGAATGATGTGTACGATGCTTTTAAAACACACACACACACACACACTCTCTCTCTCTCTCTCTCTCTCTCTCTCTCTCTCTCTCTTCAAAGGCTCTTTAACTGTTTCTGTTCTCACAAGACTTCGCAATCCTGCTGTTTCCTTTCCCGCAGAATTTACATGTCTGCATTTGGGGCAGGTTCATTTATTCACGCATTAGTGCATTAATTCATCAGATACTTAAGTATCTTCTGAGTGTGCCAGACATAATCCTAGAGGCTGGGGGGCTCTAGGATTATAATATTTGGTGTCTGTTTTTGCAAGGCTTCCAGTCTCATCCCAAGACTGTCCTGCAAATCACTGATTGTCATGCCATATGGAAATTCCTCACAGGGGTGTATACAAAGTGATGGGGCCACAAAGAGAAGGATGTGACTGCCTGGGAGCTTCAGAGAAGCTGCCCATTATCCTAAAGTTGCATTAGATAATTTCAGACTTTCCTTTTCTTAGCAGAATTTCTGCCTTCGTGGAAAAGAATTTTGCTCCTTCTCCAGGGATTTCACGACAGGTTTGAAATTCAAGAAATGGAGATACCTCTAGTATAAAAAGGATGTATTTCTCCCTCAAAGGTTGTATATCCACTGAGTTAGAATTAATAAATTTATTCCCTCAGGCCACATGAAAAATATTAAATACACTGTCCTCCCTCTACCACTGGAATATAAATAAGTTATATGAGGACTTATTACATCCTACTTAAGTTGCAGGTGTTTTGTCTGCTTTGTCTTGTTGTATCCCTAGCTCCGACTCCCTGTGTCTAGCACGTAGTAGGTGCTCAATAAATACTTGCCGAATGAATCAAGCATTATGACCTGAGAGGGGCCATACGTAGTGTTGCATTCTTCCTCTAGAGGAGCTAGATAATGAACTGCAAGCATCCCAAATGGTGAGAGCTGATTGTATTAGAAAGTAAACTCCTGGAGGCCCCAGAGTGTTAGCGTCTCCATTTCTATTCGTAGAACCCGATGACTCATTGTTCGACTTTCTGCACTTGCACAAAAGAAGGAAACCTGTGTTTCTCAGGCTTTCTTGTTCTACTCTAGCGAAGATGGTTGGGCTATTTTTTCTTCCTCTTGAGAACTTGTGTCAAAATTTTTTTTTCCTTTACAGCAAAGCAAGGACTCTATTTGAAAAAAATGCTGCCCCGATTTTACACTTATCTGGCATGGATGTGACTGTCGTTAAGGTAAGAACACTTCAGAGTGTTGATTTTATCCGAGCTACCACTCCTTATGACTTATCCTCTTCTCTTGACTTTGTAGCAGAAATCACTTATCACGTAAGAAGCTGGGAGCAGAGAGATCAACGTTGTGTCTTTGTTCTGATCGTTAATAAAAGTGGTTTTGTTTTTTTTTCCAAAGCATTGTCAGCTTTTCATTTTCAGAATAAGATTAGATGGAGGCATGAATTTGGTTCCTGTCATCTGAAAGCTAGGATGTGGAATCATTGTCTCTTGGAAGATGAAAGTAGTTATAGCTGTAAGAATTCTTTTCCTAAAAATAAAAATATTTCCACTTTGAGTAGTTAATTTCTTGGTAGCTCCACAGACAGGTAAACATTTTCTCTCTGGTGAGAAATTTTCAGTGGTAAAGCTTTAGAATTGGCAATATTTAGCTAAGAAAAAGGGACAAAAATAAGTTAGAAGGAATTGTGCTAGATAGAAGATGCCCTAAGACTCCACCTTGTTGACTTTTAAGTGGTATGTGTGTGGTGAGTACTCAGGTGTGTGCATTTGGTGAAAATCACTCTGTTGTCATGTTTGTAAGTCTGTGGTTTATTTTTAATATTACACACTTTCATGAAATCAGAGATGAAAAGGTAATTTAGTGCCGCTTACCATGAAACGTTGAACTCTTTTGTCCACCTGGTCTTCGATGTGGTCTTCCAGGTGTCTGTCTCCAGGGATGGGAGAAAGGGGAAGAGAACTGACATTGATGTGAGTGTTTGTAATGCACGTTAAACTCTATGTGTGAGAGAGCCCAGAATACTTACGTAAGAGATCTTCCTTGAATGTTCGAGCGAACTCCGATCAGACCATCTGGACCTGGAGCTGTCTTTGAGGGCAAAATGTTTTGTATATTAAATGTCTTTAATGGTTCTAGAAGTAGTCAAGTTCTATTCTCGAATTAATTTTGGTAAGGCAATATCTTCAAGGAATTTGCTGCTTCCATCTAGGTTTCAATTTAATTGGTATCAAGTTAATAATTTCCAATTTTTAACTTGTAAGTTTCTGTAACATTTGTAATATTTTGTTTTAATTCTTCATTTATTTATTTGTGCCCTCTTATTTTTCTCTCAATAGTCTTGTGAGAGGTATGTCAATTAATCCTTGTCAAGAATCATTTTTTGGCTTGTTGATCCTCGTTTATGTTTGTTTCATGAATTTCTAGTCTGTTTTTACTATTTCCTTCATTCTACTTACTTTGGATTTTTTTCTGCTGTTCTGTTCTCACATTTTAACTTGGATGCTTATTTTTTACCCTTATCCTATGTATTGAAAGCTATAAATTTCCCTCTATTGCTCCAACTGCATCTTCTAAGTGTTGATATATAGTATTTTCATTATCATTCATTTAAAAATATTTTCTAATTCCCATCATGATTTTTGTTTGACCTATGAGTTATTTAGACATGTTTTTAAATTTCCGAATATAAAGTTTTTCTAGTTATCTTTTTGTTATTGATTTCTTGCTTAATTGCATTATGGTCCACTAATGGCCTGGGGTGTGTTTTGTTTTCATTATCGGGTACCAGTTCTGCGCATGTCCAGTAAGTCAAGTCTGTTCATTGTGTGGTTCTGGTCTTCTGTGTCCTTACTGATTTTTTCTTCTGCTTTAACTATATTGAGAGGGGGCTTTTGGAAATCTCCCACTGTTATTGGGGGTTTTTCTGTTTCCCTCTGTAGTTCATTTTTGCTTTTTATATCTTGAGATGATGTCAGTAGATGCTCTCAGGTTTCAAATGGCTTCATTTCCTCGCGTTTGGACCCTGTCCGAGAGCGATTCTTTTCAGCACCAGCACTGCCTCGGCCCCAGTCTGTCTGCCTTACCTAGTGTTCCTAGTGACTCTACTAGCTTACTTCTGGTTGGGTTTTGCTTGGTGTAATATTTTTATCCCTTTACTCTCAGCCTTTTTGTATCTTTATATTTTAGAGGCCTTATTGGTAAGGCATGAAAACAGTATTTAAAAGATCTAATCTTTTTTTGGCCTTTTTACTGGGTCACTGAATCCATTAACATTTTATTGTAATTATTGCTATATTTATTTCTATACGAGTTATCTACTGCTACATAACAAACTACCTTGACAACTGGTTCTCTGCTTCCGATTCTGTTGGTCAGCAGTCTGTTCAGAGCTGCCCTGTGCTGGCCACACCTGGGCCCCTCCATGGCATGGCTGAGCAGGGAAGGCCTGCCTCGCACATCGGTAGGTCGGGCCTGCTGTTGTCTGGCTCGTGTGGCCGCCAGCAGGCGTCTTCACATGGTAGCTGGGTTCTCTGAAGTAAATGATAGACATCATGTCATTTTACCCCTCGATACTTCAGTGTGCACTTAAAAAAAAAAATAAGGCTACTTTTCTACGTAACTTCAGTGTCATTATCATACCCAGCAAAAGTAACAATTCTCTAGTATCATGTTATGCTACCTATTGTCTTGATTCACTTTTCTTTATTTAATATCATTAGGCCACTTTTTTTTTTTTTTTAATCCTTGCTTTGTTGCTGCATTTGGAATTTTCTTCTTACCATCAGAGCCTCACGTAGGTTATCTGTATAAATGTTGTCTTTTAAATTATGGCCTATTAAATCTGTCAAAATATTTTTGAATTTTGGTTCTTTCATTTGTGTACTTATATTTATTAATATTTTTTGCTGGTATTTATTGACTCCCTCCTGTGAGCTAAACCCTGTTCTAGGTATTGGGGATACAGTCTGAACAAAATAAACTTTCCATGTCTGTCCCCAAAGAGCTTCTATTCGAAGTGGGAAAGGGAGAGATGCAGATAAAGAAACAGATACATAAACATGGTTTGTCAGATGGTGATGAGTGCCATGAAGAAAGTCAAGCTGAGTAAGGGGACCAGGAGTAATGGGGTGTTAGTTTAGTTCAGAAGGTGAAGGAAGACCGGTTTGAGGAGATGACTGTTCAGCAGAGACCTGAGGCAAATGATTGAGTACTGCAGATGCGGAAGGGAAAGAATCGGGGCTAAGGATATTGCATTGCATGGTCAGGACTTTGAAGCAGGAGTATACTCGGCATGTTTGAGGAGTAGTAAGAAGGCCAGTGTCTGTTTTGTAAAAGATTGTCATTTACATATTCAGTAAGTGGCCTTTCACCTCTGTTGATAGCACTGTATAGAAAAAGGCTCAGGGCACCTGGGTGGCTCAGTCCGTTAAGCATCTGGTGCTTGATTTCAGCTCAGGTCTTAATCTCAGAGTTGTGAGTTCAAGCCCCGAGTTCGGTTCCACTGTGGAGCCTACTTTAAAAAAAAAAAAAAAGGCTCAAGGGAAAGCCCTAAAGTAATGTCACTAGGAATCTACCTGCAATTTGATGTCACTCCACTGAGCTTCTCACTTGGAGCACAGACCTTCAGTTGGTAACTAACCTACTTGTATTCTAGCATATTATTTCCACATTTCTCCATCTTGTCCCCATGGATGTCATCAAATAGCTTACCAAGTGCCTTGCTGAAGAGCAGGTACAATGTCTGTCTGGTTTCCTTTATCTACTGATCCAGTTAATGTCAAAGAAGTTGAGGATAGTCTGAAATGCCTTGTTCTTAGCAAACCCATACTGATTCCCAGTGATTGCTTATTTTGGGGTACTCACAAGCCATTCTTTTAATAAGGATTGACATATATTCTTTTTTTAAAAAATTACTATTTGCATATGTGTAACCATGAAGCCAGCCATTTCATTTTTAGAATAAAAATGGAATAATTCCTCATAAAATTCATGGTGTTAGTTTAGGGACTTCCTTTTTCCTCTGTGTTATCTGTGCTCAGGTGCTTTAGCCCATCTGAAATTCACATCTTTAATTTTTGTCTATTAGTGTGTCTAGTACCGTGTCAATAGGAGAGAGGATGTTTCCTATGTTAGTATTAGCTGCATTATGCGTTCTAGAATTTAATGTTTGGTTTTAGAGGCAGTGGCTTAGATGATTCATTGAAGCCTGCATACATAGCGGAGAGGAAATACTCTCAGTAAAAATGGTGAGGTTTAGTACTGTTTGTCACTATTCTGAGTCACACCGGTACTTTATTGTATAATCATAGCAGAACCCAACCTTTCACTTAAGTACAGTACCGGTCACCAACAGTTACTTGCTAGTTGCTTTATGTACCGCTTTACAACAGCACCATGGGGAAGCTATTATTACCCCAACCCCAATACACATAATTTCATTGGTAAGGCAGTTAAGGTCTTTAGAGTTTAAGGCCACTCAGCTGAAAAGTAGCAGAGCTGGGGTTTAATATGGGTCTCTTGGGCTCCCAAATCTGTGCTCTTTTCATTACATCCGTGGCTCTCTATTTGGGTATACACTTGACTTCCTGCTTTCAGGTGAAAGGTGCCGGGTAAATGGTGTAATAGATTCTGCACTGGCCTGGAAATGAGTCCTTTGACTAGCTAACTGTATAACTTTGAGACAGATCACTGGGCTTGGGTTTTATTTTTAAGGGAAGGTTAAAGATGGTTTCTGAGGTCCCTTCCAACTCTAAACAGTGCAAAACTGTATACAGGATTGCTTTGATAGCTGTTGAATTTTTCGTGTCTATCAATTATGTAGAATTTGAGGAAAGACTCTGTCAAACTTTAAAGAAAATGTCCCATATTTTTAAATCTTTGATTTTTATGGCCCTAGGATGGGAAATTTACCAAAGACTTCTTTTGTATTTCAGACCGATTATGAGGGCCAAGCCAAGAAACTCCTGGAACTGATGGAAAACACAGATGTGATCATCGTTGCGGGAGGAGATGGGACATTGCAGGAGGTATGGCTGTTTTTCTTTTCAAAACCATTTTGAAGGTGAATAAAATGGAAATTAGATCTTAGAGCAATGGCATAAAGTGGTTATAATTTAAGGAAATTCTTTGTAATTTATTTTTTTAGGATTCCTACTCCCTGAAACAGGTGTAGCGTTATATTTCTGTCATGCACTTTTATTCTGTTGTTTTGTATAAACTTTATACCCAGCATATAGGATTTTTGTTTTGTCAAATTTAAGTAGGATAAAATTGAATAAATAAGGAGAAGAAATGGTGGTGGGTTTGATAAGCTTTTTACATTTTGGAAACTGATGGAGTAGCCTGTGTGTTAGGGAGTTAGGGAATCAGTTTTAATTATGAGGGATGGTTCTTATAAAATAAACTTAGATCCCCTTTTGAAAAAATGCTTCTGTTCTCACATCATTTCCATCGCATGGAATGTTCTCTCCTAGTAGTACAGTTTGAGGCAGGATCTACAAGTTCAGGTGTATGTATCTGCCTTTGTTTTAAAATTTCATGTCCTTAATGCTTACTCTGGTCCAGTAAGGACAGTAAGTACATTGTCCTAGAAGTGCTCTTCCTTTCGAGGGCAACAGACTGGAACCTTCATTACGTATTGGAAGCCCCTGAAGAGCCCCGTGCAGGGGCCCCTCCTACTGCTCAGTCCTTCCATCCTGTGGGCCATAATTCACAGCTGGGCCTCATTTCTGATGGCCTTTTTGCCTCCATTTGGCGGTTTCCTCAGTGTGGAGGGATCCGGAGGTAACAGCAGACAGAGCAGTGTCCTATGTTTGACTTAGCAGTTATGTGAGCCTTAGTAAGCTGCTTTTAGAAAGACTGTGCTAATGATCCTGGAATTGTTTTAATGGCTTTTTAATGAAGTGTGAAGAATACTGATAGCATGCCAACAAAGAATGAAGTAGACCTCATGACGGCCCCATGTAACCCTGAAATTCACTGAGGCAGGAGGTGAAGGGATTGGCATCCGTCCTTACTTTACAAAATGTTTTTAAGAAATAGACCAAATCGTGTATTTGGTATAATCTCAGTCATGTACAAATATGCAGTGAATAAAAAAAGGATTGGGGGGAAATATGCCAAAATGTAAGCAACTGATTCATGATGGTTATCCAGCATGATGGGATGATGAGAAAGCATTTCCTTCTTCAGGTATTTTTCACCACTAATACAAGGCATGGATATCATATTTTATTTTATTTTATTTATTTATTTTTTAAAGATTTTATTTATTTATTTGACAGAGAGAGACACAGCAAGAGAGGGAACACAAGCAGCGGGAGTGGGAGAGGGAGAAGCAGGCTTCCCGCTGAGCAGGGAGCCCGATACGGGGCTCCATCCCAGGACCCTGGGATCATGACCTGAGCCGAAGGCAGACGCTTAATGACTGAGCCACCCAGGAGCCCCCATGGATATCATATTTTAAAAATAAAAAACCATCATGTACAAATTGAAATTAAAAAATATCTTTTAAAAGAGGAGCTACAGTTACCCTTGTCTTCATAAATCTTTGTTGAGCACAGACTTCTCTGCAAGTAGCAAAGTGTGACTTTTGTTCCTGTGTGGCTATGTGTAGTAGAACCCAGGCTCCTCTGTATGATTGCTGTGTGGCTCACATTTGTATCCAGTTTAGAGAATGCAGAACAATTTTGCTAATATAATGTGGAGGTTTTGTAATTATTTCACCTTAGCCTTTATTGGACTATTGATCTTAGGTCAAGAATCAAATCTAATTTTGCTCCGATCCCCCTGCAGAACACTGTATGTTCGAAGAGCCAGTACATCTTTTGACGTAGTCTCTAAGAAGAGAACAGACACAAGTTTGTGATCCGTGAAAACTGAATCCAATTCTTGTTTGATAAGGGAGCCTACACGTTGTTTATAATAATTTTTTTTAACGTTTGTAGGTTATTACTGGAGTTCTTCGAAGAGCAGATGAGGTGAGCTTTCAAGAGTGATTGCGTTTTAGCTTTTACATTTCCGTGCTTTTTATCTCCTTTTACCTTTTTTCGCCATTTTATAACTTAAGGTGGGCACAAATTGTGCTTCTTTGGGTTTTAGCAAATAAAGTACTGCTGCCTGTGTCCTGGAACACTTTGATTAATCTGCGGCGGACTCCTCTGTTTTAGTGTGCCAGAGCGCCCGAGAGCTTTTACCAGAAAAACTATTGTTTGAAATATAAATTTTTCCCATGGAAACTTCTCTTCACAGAATTCCTTCATAAATAAATGATGGTATAATCATATCCTGGAAGCCATGTAGCAGTAAGAATGAATGACTTAGATCTATAAATATCTATAGATATTTATAGATTTAGAGACATATAGATATATAAATATCTATAAACATGATTAAGTCTAAAAAATACTGAATATAAAAGGCAGGTTGCCAAAGTATGTTATGCAATTCAGAAAGCAACACTGCATACTGTTAATGGATGTGTAAATATGTTGTAAAAGAATAATAACGTGGCGGGAAAGGTACCACAGCATCAGCAGGATAGTGGTTTCCTCTGGGGAAGGGTGCGGGGAGAGGGAGGCATGACTGCTACTTGAACTTGCTTGTCCTCTTTGCCTTCTTTACACTCGAGATAGTTTATAAAACGCTGTCAATAGTTACTGTACAAATGTTAGATATTTCTGGTTTATCCACAACTTTTTTGAATAGTGTGACAACAAAATGCAGTCTCTGTCACAATAGCACATTTATCTAATATCTTTAAGACCCTCCTTTTTGTAACCAAATTTCTTTCAACAGTTGCTGTTAATGAGTACCCACATATTTCTTCCAAATTCGCAGAGTCCTCTTGTTTTCGAGGCCTGCGTCATTCTAGAAACCGCTCACTTAGCGTTATCCGATTGCTGGTCTAGCCTAGGGCAGGGAGAGATGGGGTGGTGCACTGAGGGTCAGTTACTTTGTCATAGTGAACATGTGTGTGTCTCTCTGTTCAGTCTGATTCTCTGACCATAACCGTAAAAACTTTCCTCTTCTTTTTTCCCCTTAGGCTTCCTTCAGTAAAATTCCCATTGGATTTATCCCACTGGGACAGACCAGTAGTTTGAGTCCTACCCTCTTTGCCGAAAGTGGAAACAAAGTCCAGTAGGTTGTCAATGTGGGGTAGTGGCATTTGTGGGTGAGTGAGCCTGGGAATGGACAGTTCACATGTGGGTGATAAGAATTTTTTGTTTGTTTTTAGTTTGGATAGCATGGAACTTCAAATCATTAAGAGGAGGACCTAGATCAAAGTACAACCTTTCAGTTCATTGGGAGTTTCCCTGTTGGGTTCTGGGGCCCTGCTGCTCTGGTATCCAGTGCCCAGGTCAGGTGTAGAGATGAATACTGATGTCCTTCTGTCAGTTTTGAAGATAGCATCCTCTATCCGAACTATCTTTGTGCCTTTATTTTGTAAGATGCTCTAGTGAAGTCAGATTTGCATTGATCGTTTTTTTGCTTTAAAAATACATGATGACAAATAGCAAGTCCCTTGTGAAAACTGAACCGCTAGCCTTGACTTCATTATCTTGCTAATATAAGTAACTAGAACAGCAAAATAATAGTCTCATCCTTTGGGGAATGCCGAAAGTGGAAGGCAGGATGGATAAAGCAGTTGGGAAAGCACTGTAGCCCTAGCATCTAAATTAAATTGCTGTGAGTCTGTCTTCAGGAGTCAGGCAGGTTGTTGTTATCACTCTTTTCTCTTGAAAGCGTTATGTAAACAAAGCTGTAGTCTTTCAAGAAGATAGGAATCTTGAATTTGAGTCCTGGCTTTGACAGTGATAAATAGTATAATCGAGCAAATTGTTTGCAGGCTGTCATTGTCAGTTGCCTGATCTTTCATGTAAGCTTTGTGACACAGTTGCGAGAGGTCAATAAAGAAATACTTGTTGAATGTATTAATTAAAATCTTCTTACAACATTTCTGGTTATATAACCTTCTAGAATCATAACAATAGTAATACTCAGGTGATTTTCTGTTTTTTTTTTCCTGCTTTGGGATTTTGATTAGGTTGGTTTTTGTGAATTTATTTTTGCTGTTAGAATTTTAGGAGTCATTTTATATCTTTTAACAATTCTCTGTCTCTATATATCATAAAAGCCTTGGTCCATATGTCATACGCAAGGCCCAACCATAGGCCCGTATATCAGGCCTTCGTCAAAACGTCTCCTGCTTCAAGCCTTAATTTAATGGGGACATTCAGCTCTTCACCAGTCATCCTGAAGCCTCAGGTGGCATTTCAGTTTGCCAGACTCTTTATTCTTAGTTTAGAATTTCTGAGGGGCGATGGATATAACAAATAATGAATTATTCAAGCATTTTTGCTTATCTGAGATAAATTCTATCTGGTTTGAGTCTTGGTTACCTTAGAGAGTTAGTCTTTCCCTTTGTGTCAATATAGATTATTTGAACTGCTTTGCCAACATTCCCAAATATGTCAGCGATCCACAGGGAGACCATGTTCCTTGGAGAACGCCTTGCCTGTCCCAAAGCCAGGTTATGGGCAGCATGGCCACCCTCAAGGTCTTAGTTTCTTGCAGATCTTCAGTTTTTTGGGAGCTGATTTTTCCTGGGTTCAACTAATGTTGCTGCTTCTATTTATAATTTAAAGATTTATAAAACTTAATTTATAAGCATGCCCCAGTGCTCTGAGATAATTAAATAAATCTGCCCTGGGTTCAGAATTTTGTAGACCTCTCAACATGGCAGATGCCTAAGGCCATTTAAAAGAACAAGGCTTTGCTTTTGCACTGCTGTCAAGATTTGTTGTACCATAATTACTACAGGAGAATAAGGAATCTTGCATTTGGAATGTTGCAGGTAAATAATTCTAAAAAATAGCTGTTTGGTGCTACAGTGCTGCTTTAGCTAGAACTTTCAGTTACTGCTGGCGAATGATAAATTTGTGGTTGTATTTTAGCTGGGTGCTGCCAGATAATTTTGGAAAAAAATTAATATTAAAAGGCTTTTTCAGTTGCAGCGTTTGTTTTTTTTTTAAGGTCAGTCTCTCAAAAGCACTTCCTAAGCCTCTCAATGTGCTCGGTACTACTCAGAGTAAGTACAGAGCTTTTGGATCCTTTCTAATAGCTTCCTTCAGAATTAATGTATTCCTACCAGATTAATCTAAACTTGTGATCATGCTTCTTGCTTTCTCCTAAATTGAATCTCATTTTCTGCTACCTGCTTCCCAGATAGCATCTGTATTGGAGGGAAAAAATGGGATAAAGACGTGTTGATAGGGAAATATGGGAAAGTAAAATAGGCTGTTTCTTTACTTTGATTTTGCTTACTAGGGAGCCCAGAATGTAATCTAAGTGTTTGGGTTAATGTGTATATTTTGGGTATCTTAAAGGGTCTTAAATTATACCTAACTTTGCTAGAAGTTAGCAGGACTATTCAAGTGGATAGTGATTCCTGACTTAGATGTTTACATTTTAAACCTGGTCCCACTGTTAGCTGTGGGCTTGCCCTTTGGGAACCCATGGCTATTCCTCTGGTATGTCCGCAGCAGCCTCACCGGGTGAGAGAGCACACCCTTGGAGTGAGACCTGCAGTTGAATTTCGTTTTGCCACAAACTTGCTCTGTCATCTTGAGAATTTTATTGAATCTCTCTGAGCGTCAGTTTCTTCACCTGCCTTTATCAAATGCCCAACAACAGTACTTACTTCAGAAGATTGTTAACAAGTTAAAATAAGGACCAGTTAGGTAAACGGATAATTACGAGTTGGTAACTTATTGGATATGTTGAAGACTTTATGCATATTTATTGATAATTTAGGATGGAAAACGGTTAATAAAAAATAGGATAGCTGTACAGTTACTGAGACCAATTCTATAATTAAAACAGTATAAGCAAATTGAAGAGAACATTCTCTTCTCTTGCTGTTTCACCTAAGGCAAAACATTTTTAAAGGAAAAGGCATTTTATAGATATTCCAGTCAGTTACTATGGAAAGGTGATTTTTTTCTACCAAATTGACATTAACCAGAACTGTATAGTGAAGAATAGATTAGGAGATGCCATATTAGAAGAGAAACTACACTTTTTTGAATGGAGATTATAGTAATTTCTAAGTGACTCCATTCTTATAGTTGTACTTAAACGCTAGACACAATAAATCTTTAACTTTATTAGTAATTACTGTATTTTTCTAAAATACAACAACAATAAAGGCAATGTAGTACTAACATTGCTAAGCTTTTACAAAAAAATACTTTGGGATAAATCTAACAAAATACAAGATTTATATGCTGAAAACTATAGAACATAGAGAAACCAAGAAAACAAATAAATGGAGAGATATCTGTGTTCATGGACTTTAAGACTCAATATTTAGATGTCTGTTATCCAAATGATTTCTAAATTCAACACAATCTCAATCAGAATTGCAGAAGACCTTTTATAGATGTTGACATGTAGATTTTGAAATTTATATGGAAAAATAAAGGAACTAGAAAACCCAGAATAACTTTGAAAAAGAGTAACAAAGTTTGAGGACTTACTGTATCTGATTCCAAGACTTATTTTCTAAAGCTACAGTAATCAAGATAGTGTAGTGTTAGCAAAAGAAGAAATGAGTAGATCAATAGAAGAAAATGTCCAGAATTAGGCCCACGCATATGTAGAGACTTGATTTTTTTTGACAAAGGTGCTAGGCAAGTCAGTGGAATTTTTCCAGCAATTGGTGCTGCAACAGTTAGCTAAGCACATGCAAGAAAATGAACCATAACCCATCTCTCATACAATATGTAAAAATAAACATGAAATTGATCATGACGTAGATGTAAAACCTAAAACTGTAAAAATTTCTGGAGAAAAATCTTTGTGACTTGGAGATAGGCAATGATTTTTTTTAAAGATTTTATTAATTTATTAGAGCATGCAAGAGAGAGCACAAGCAGGGGGAGAGGGAGAAGCAGGCTCTCCGATGAGCAGGGAGCCCCATGTGGGGCTCAATCCCAGGACCCTGGGATCATGACCTGAGCTGAAGGCAGACTCTTAATGACTGAGCCACCCAGGCGCCTCAGGGCAATGATTTCTTAGGACACAAAAAGCAGAAACCATAAAAACAACAAGAAATAATTTCAGCTTCAGCAAAATTTAAAACATTTGTTCTTTGAAGAGTATTATTATTTTTTTTTTTTTCTTAAGATTCTATTTATTTGAGAGGGAGAGACAGAGACTGCTCAAGAGAGAACACAAGCAGAGTGGAGGGGCAAAGGGAGAGGGAGAAGCAGGCTTCCCGTTGATCAGGGAGCCCAAAGACAGTGGGCTCGATCCCAGGACCCTGGGATCATGACCTGAGCTGAAGGCAGATGCTTAACGGACTGAGCCACCCAGGCGCCCCTGAAAAGCATTGTTAAGGAAATGAAAAGACAAGCTGCAGACTGGGAAAAAATATTTGCAAGGTACCTATCTGGTAAAGGACCAATGTCCATAGTATACAAATAACTCTCACAACTCAGTAATAAGAAAACAAACAGTCAAATAATAGAAGGGCAAAATATTTGAACAGACCCTTCACCAAAGACATGGATGGCAAATAAGCCCATGAAAAAATATTCATCATTAGTTGTTAGGGAAGTGCAAATTAAATCCACTATGAGATGTGTCTATTAGAATGGCTTAAACAAACCAGACAGAAACCTTATGTCATCAAGTACTGGCAAATACACGAAGCAATTGAAACTCTCATATTGCTGGTGGAAATGCAAAATGGTATAGCCACTATGGAAAAGAGTTTGGCAGTTTCTTTTAAAATTAAATCTATGAGCAGCAATCATACTGCTAGGTATTTACCCAAAAGAAATTAGGACCTATGTCCATACAAAAATGTGTACATGAAAGTCACATCATTTGTAACTGCCAAAAACTGGGAATGGTGCCAATGTCCATCAGCTGGTGAATGGATAAACTGTGGTATGTCCATACAATGGAATACAAGTCTGCAATAAAAAGAAACAATCTTTAAATCCATTCAGCAGCATGAATGAATCTCACACTCATGCTAGGAGTTTTAAAAAGCTAAACTGTTAAGGCTTCATACTTTTGGTTTCAATTTATATGACATTCTGAAAAACAGAAAACAGTAGTTGGCCAGGAGCTTATGGTGGGGTGAGTGGGTTGGCCACAAAGGGCCATGAAGGAACTTTCTGAGATGTCATAAATGTTCTATATCTTGGTCATGGTGATGGTTACATGACTGAAGGTATTTGTCAAAAATTGTAGAACAGTTTACCTAAAAGGATGAAATCTGCTATGTGTAAATTATATCTTAACCAATCTAATTTTAAAAAAAAAGTTAAAGTATTAAACTAATTCTTTCAAACATAGATAACTCTACTTGTGTGAATAAGTGCTAGGGAGGAGCTCTTAGTTCCTCAATTTGGTTGACATTGACAGGGTCGTTCCTTGGCCACTCTTTCTCATTGTTCATTTCGATTATCTACTGACCCTTGACCCTTGTAATCCACCCTTGAAGTTCATTCATTTGGGACAATTTGAGTATCAGTAAGGCTAATAACTATAATGCATTGAAACATAATCAAATATATTTAAAATTATTTATGAGTTCATAATGATACTCGGAAATAAAGGTGAAAAACTCATTGGGTCCTTTTTAGAGGATACTGGGATATCTGCTTATTACTTTGAAAATTGGTGAAGTTAAAAAATCAGATATTTCTCGTATGACCTCTATTTTATGGTACCTAAATCATTGATGAGGGAAAGTTTCTCTTTGTGGACCAGATAATAAATTAGAAGGAATAATAGGATTAAAAGATCACCATTTTGCAACTCTGTTAACTAATCTAGCTATTGATTACCAATGGGGGCTACTATTACACACACAAAAAAGGCAAACAGATTTTATGTACTTACTGATAGAAGTACACACCACTACCTCTGGAGTATGTTTGCCAAACACACCAAGCTGAATCAGATAGAGATTTTTAGGAAATGCAGGGAATATGGACACATGTTAATACCATGGGAATGCAATCAGTAAAATCCAGCCCCTCAGCAACACAGTAAGACAACCCATTTTTTAACAAGTAGGGAAAGAAAAGGAGAGGGAATCTATAGATCAGAGAAGACTTGACATATAAGCCCATTGCAGTGTGTTAGATCCAGATTTGAACAAAGAAACTGAAAAAAATTGAGTTAATTGGGGAAATTTCAACATTGACTAAATGTTTGTTGATGGAAAGGAGTTATTTAAAAGTTTTAGATAGGATAATGACATTTTGTTTTTTTTTTAAAAAGTCTTTTAGGAATAAAGGAATATGTCTTTTAGAGATACATAAAGGAGTATCTATGGATAAAGTGTTAATGCTGTCTGGGATTTCCTTTGCTACAGACTGGAGAAGTGAGTGAGAGTATTAAAAAAATAAGATCAGCTCTGCATTGATACTTGTGGAGGCTGGATGAGGAATACACAGGAATTCATGATACTATTCTCTCTGCGTTTTTATATGCTTGGAATTTTATAGAATAAAATCATTTATTCATCAAATACTGATTGCCTATTCTATACCATGCTCTGTGCTGGGTGTTAGGTTTTATATTGGTCAGTAATGGATGTAAATTATTACTAACCCTGTGGAACTTTCAGTCTCCAGCAAGAGGCAGATAATAAAGATGTAAATAACAAGTGTGTATTATAAATTGTGATCTATGATGAAGGAAAATGAATACAGTTCAGTGCTAGAGAATTACAGAGAAGGCCTACAGGCTGGTTAGGGTAGATGGTGACATTTCAGCCAAGATCTGAAGGATGAGAATAGCCAGCCAAGCAAAGAGACAGTGGGTAAGTGACAGGAGGGGTGGACAGGCTGGGCAAGGAGAGTGTTTGAAGTGGGTTGACTCATTCTTTCTGCTGCAAGAGCAAATACTGTCTGGCCACTTGTTGATTTAATATTTCTTTGACTGTCTGTTGTAATTTAATGTGTGTCTGACCTGGGATCTCATTAGAGCTTGAACCCTAGAATTGCTTTTAAGCCTAGCATAGTTTCACATGCCCTGAACAGTTGTCGATGGTACTAGCCTTTCTTACTTATAGACTTTTCAACTGACGATCAGATTGTAGATAGGAACGGTGTTGTGTCTATGAACAAAAGAATCAGCCATTAAAATTACATCCTTGTAATCCTGGTAAGTTAGAGAAATAGGTCTTGGGTTCCAGATCATATTTTGCTGAGATAGCTCAAATCCTATCTTTTAGTTACCCTTTAGATTATTAGAGTCAAAAGAAATAATATTTTTTCAAGTGCTTGAATTTCTTTGAATGAATGAAAGATGCTGTTAATATTAAGTATCATATTTTCCAGTGATAAGACACATAGTAGAGATTCAATAAATGTGATGTAAACAAATGATTGGCGCCTTGTATAAACTTCTCTTTGCCAAAGGCTTCCACTGTATTTTTATCAGTAACTCTTTTATATTCATTTGTTGTGCTATCTTGGAGTATTTTGAAGGAATAGGTCTTTTTCCTGACCTGTTAGTACTCTGGGCAGGAGTGTGTGTATGTGGGTGTGAGTGTGGGTATGGGTGTGGTGGGGGAGGGGTTGCTTGTTTTCCACACATGATCATTTCCTCCCTTTGTCTTTTTAGACATATTACAGATGCTACACTTGCCATTGTGAAAGGAGAGACTGTTCCACTTGATGTCTTGCAGATCAAGGTAGAGTCTTTTCTTCAGAATTGGACAAAATTACCAAAGTAATGCACGCATACGTGGTAAAGAAAATATGATGTAGCGGTTCAAATGGAGTTACACTGAAAATAGTATCCTTTCCTATCCCAAGCATAACTCTCAGAGAAAAAGAATTTTACCTGTTTATTCTAGTTGTTATCACTAGTTAATATGCTTATGATGCTACTTTTTAAAATTGTGTTAAAGAACCCCACAAAACCTAAAGGCTGCCATCATAACCATCTTCAGGTGTACAGTTGATCATTATTGTTTAGTCTATGAAATTGCTTTTTGATTTATCAGTTTTAGATTCTATCTCTTGACCTCTTGGTTATAAGTAAGAATTCCTCTAGATCTCCTCTCAGTATAGTGTCACTATTTTTAGTTCCTCCAACGATTACCTTTGGACCACATAATTTCTCTGTCTCCCACGGTGGTTTGGAATATTAAAAGAGCTAGTAATATAAAGCCCTTGGGACAGTGACTGGTTTCACCTTAACCTGCACGTGGTGGTCACCTCTTGCTCTCATGCTCTGCCAGAGGTGAAACCTTTCTCCTGTCCCATCCGTCCATCAGAGGGGCTTGTCTTTGGAATTCAGGTTACTTGGCTGTCTTGCAGTCTCAGCTCGTTCTCTGGTGGGCTTAAGAAAAATTATGATTTTGTAGGTTATCTGGGTTTTTCTCATTTTTGGGGTGGGGATAATGTTCTTTGTAGCATCCTACATCCTGGATGGGAGCAGAACTTCCCATTTTTCTATTGGGTTGTCTAACATTTTTTTGATTTGTAGATGAACTCATGAATTGTTTTAAAAAAAATATTTGCTGGTTACGCCCACTGAAAAGGCTTAGAAGCAATGACACCCCACAGTAATGGGCATACCTGGCACTCGGATTTTGGTCTCTAAATACTGTTCCCTAATAAAAGTTACCAGGACCCTCTGAAGAGATAGCTTTCAGAGGCAAGGCAAGAACAAAGCCAAGAGCTACTCAAAAACTAATGGAGATAACCTGAAAAGACATAGGAGCTAGCCTGATGGTATCCACCTGGCCAACTGTGGGACAGTTTGAACATCAGAAAGAATAATAATGCTAATGGATTATAATGCAGTAAATAAAAATAATCTATGAGCCTACAGTTTAAGAGAATTTCCAGCTTGTAAATGTAGAAGGAATGATGGTTATTATTTTGCAATCACTAATGAAATAATTGATTCAGATAGAGATCATCAGAGGATGCTAAAACCATTGGTTAGAAGATTGTTAGGGAACATATATCGACACAGTCTTAAAGCATCACAGGTTACTAAATGATTACATAGGGGAAGATGTACCTGTACAGTAGAGAGACCCAGCATACACCACCTTAACCGAGTGATCAAACCTAGCATCACCAATAATGGGATAGACGGACAATATCTGCCTCCTCATGTGATCTATTGAGAACGATACAACATCACCTATGGAGTTTCTTGCCCAAAAGGTCCACTTCTCTGAATCTAACTGAAACTAATAATGAGAAAAAAGTCTATCAAATCCAATTATGGGACATTCTATAAACAACCATTGGTCTGGCCTCTTCAAAAATATCAATGTCCTGGATGCCTGGGTGGCTCAATCGTTAAGCGTCTGCCTTCGGCTCAGGTCATGATCCCAGGATCCTGGGATCAAGTCCTGCATCGGGCTCCCTGCTCGGCAGGAAGCCTGCATCTCCCTCTCCCACTCCCCCTGCTTGTGTTCCTGCTCTCGCTATCTCTCTCTCTGTCAAATAAATAAATAAAATCTTTAAAAAAGAAAAAAAAAATCAACGTCCTGAAATCCAAGGGAAGATAGTCTGTTCAAGATTAGGGAAATGAAAGCAATATAGTTAAATCCAGTACAAAATCCTGGATTAGAAAAATGAAAAATAAGAGCACAAAGATGATATGGGAACAATCAGATACTTAATTCGGACTGTATATTAGATACATGTCAATGTTAAATTTCTTGAGAGTGACAGTAGCATTATGCATATGTCTGTCCTCGTTCTTAGAAGACGTAGGCTGAAATATTTAGGGGTGAGGGCCATTGAAGTCTTCCATTTATTTGCAAATGATTTAACAAAACTACAAAACACGTGCACACACAGATAAAGCCAATAGGGGAAAATGTTGGTGGCTGGTGAATGTGGTTGAGAGATATAAACGGTGTTCGTTGTATGTTAAAGAATTTTTTGGTTTGACATTTTTCCAAAAGAAAAATATTGGAGGGAAGAAGACCCAGTAGTCATTCCAGATTCCTGATTGGAATCCTCTGTTTAAAAAGAATTGAATTTCAAAAAAAAAAAGATATTCTCACTGGGTGGTAGTTAAGTAGCTATTCCTCCTTCATCAAAACTACCCCCCCTTCCCCACCACAGAAGGGCAGATTCCTCAGAAGGCTAAGCCATAAAGCCAAACATTTTTATGAACAGTGAGCCCAGTCATTTACTCAGATTTGGTCTTAAAATGTACCAGCTACATTCAGAGGCTCTTAACGTTTTATATTCACTCAAGTTTCCCGATATCTATGAAAGAAGGTTCCACACACTGTCACGATTCCAAACTTCAGTCCTGTAATGTTGCTGTTAGTTATATAGCGTTGACCAGATGCAGATTTACGATTGGCGAACCCATGCATTTACAGCCGTTTTCCTTTTGTTTTCTTTTGTTCTTCAGGCAGTGATGTCTGGACTCTCCAACATGACGTCACTGGTCATGATAAAAGTGATTTAAGTTGCCTTTGATTCTTTAGCGTATAATAAGTCTAAGTCATTCTCACAAAATGGAAGGGCTGTGTGAAAGAAATTCTAGTCTAGGAAGGTAGCACAGATTGGCGTCTATGAAGATACACTCTTAAAATGTTATTTACCAAAGGAGGTGAGTCAGGCTATATCTCCTAATAACCAGATGATTGCTGCTTATAAATGTGTGAGAAGTAATACATTCCAGAGTAATTAGGATTTAACTGGAAATTGTTGACCGTGCTTGTATTTAAAAGTCTTACCTCCTCTTTTTCTTTTCTTCCAAATGTACTGATTTTGTGAATTGATGAAACCAGTATCAAATTTGCCACAGACTCTGTGTGTTGATGACACAGCCCAGGAAGCAGAAAACTTTAAAAATTAATTCCTAGAAAACATAGCATGGCAGCCTCCACTGTGGTTTCTGAGGCACCCAGTTAAGCTGAATTTGTCTTCTCTATCTTCCTTAGTCCTGGAAATTGTTTTCAGAATATGGGGGAAAGCAATATAGGTAAAGCCTGGTACCAGATTCTTCTTTTAAAAAATAAACCCAAACCCAATTAAACATAAATAACTGAAGAGTCTCCAAAGATACAGTTCTTAGAAGTTATAATAATCCTTTATATTTAGGTTTTTACAGTGCAGTGTGTGCTCATATCTCATTTGGACCTCCAGCTTGAGAAGACAAGATGTGTAATAGTATCTTCATTTGACAGTTAAAAAAGAGAGTCAGCTGGTTATCAGACTAGTCATGCTGGAGACAGAAGTAGAATCTAGATTTTCTGTTTTATGGTCCATTGCTTTTTGACTTGACCGTTTTGTCCAGGTGGTATTCTTGGCACCAGGCCGTGATTTCTAAAGGGCATTTTCCTGGGCGCCTGGGTGGCTCAGTCATTAAG